ATTACACATGGACATTTGAGACTTCAGAATTTATCATTTATTAAAATATTAACAATAGTAATCAATAATTAAATGTTTTGAATTTGTAATGTCCACAGAAGCCCCTTTTAATATTAATCAACATATGCTCAGCAGTGACTGGCTTCAAGAGGTATATCCTGGAGTGACCATTGGAGTTCAACCGAGTCTATTGTGAGATAGTAACTCACTGAAGACAATGGTGGTTGTGTCGCTCAATTTCGTTGATTAGTCGAAGTTAGACATTAACACTACTGGCTCAGTGGTCTAGAGTTTAAGCGCACGCGTGCGAGACTGATAAGTCCTGGGTTCGAATCTCTTGCGAGGCGTGATCGCGGATGAGCACTGCTGAGGAGTCCCACAGTAGGACGAAACGGCCATCCAGTGCTTCCTGATTTTCCATGGTGGTCTAACTTCAATCTACTCAAGATCTCAACTATTAAAATAATCTTATATGTGTATAGAAAAAAACATTAATTGTACAACAGAACGTTTGAATTTGAAAAAAAGACATACGTTCATCGTTTGGATTCCCAAAGATAATTACCCAAAGTTTATTTAATCTGATCGCCGTTTTATTCTTGTCTCTCAAGACGAATCTTGAAAACACTTGATTTGACTCTTAAATTAGTCAGCTTATTTTTGTACATACTACTAATTTGTTACGAAATACTTATTTGATGATGTTGGAAAGTGCATATGACGCAATATAATGTAATTTATTTTTATTACTGGACGTTTATCGTCTACTAATTATGCAATGAATAACCTCTTTCTTAGCACTAATACAATAGAATAATCTTTTTGACAGATTTATATTAACAAAGAAAGGTTAGATTGGATCGATCAATTTTTAGTGTCGTTTCTATTTCAGATAATTTAATTTTTATTTGTTTGTACATGGCTTTACTACTATATAATCATAACTAAATTGCATTTTGTAATCTGATTCAGGTTACAGAGACCATGTTTATAAGTTGATTTTGATTCCTAATGTTTCATAATTGATACATAACAAATGACCTTTGAATATACACACAAATATGTAAGTGTATCACTAGTTAAGATTGAAATATCACACTCTAAATTACATTTTAGTAGTTCAGTTTTTTTATAAATAAATAAAAACACAAACCATAATGAATCTTGATTAAATGAAATTATTAAAACATTAGACTGATTTAGAACTGATCCACTCGTATATGTATTCACTACTTGTAATCATATTTTAAGAAAATGTTATTTGAATGTAATTCTGGTAACAATGATACTTTTTATATCCGTTACTATGATAATGATGTGAAATGTATCAAATAGCAATTATAACACCATTTTAATTGACTGTTATCTGTTGAGATTAGACTAACATATTTGTTAGTCGAAATTTACTTAAATCAGTTTGAACAAGAAGATACATACTGACTAATCATTAATGTTTTAAGTACGTTTTGTAGTGATCATTTCAAAACAAAACAAAACAAAAAATAAGAAAGTGATAATGATTTAATTCATGTTGTGAATGAATGTCACGATAAATCGGTCACCACATGACCTATCATACATAAAGCTCAAGGTCAAGATATTAATAGAACTTTGTTTACTAGATAAATCATGTGATTACGTGGCCTATTTTGCTTTAATTTTTGCGTAAACAAACAAAAAACTCTATTTGAATGAAAGCAAATAGTGTAAAGATATTTAAATGTTTTGGTTGAAAAAAAAAGTAAATTATGTATGGATTAAAAAAGAATTTGCTGATTTTTTCATCCGAATTAAAGATGTTTAAAGTTATAAAAGCAAACGTGACTTTTAAAAACACACTATGGCTTTTATCAGTAATTTTTATTCAAGGTTCACCAATAATATTCTGTCTGAAGATCAACATTTTCATTATAGAATGACATTCATATGAATACTGATTTGTTACCTTCTGGATATTTTACGATGTTGTTAGTGGTTCTCAGAACAACTTAGCATAATATCCATGTTGCTGTCGATAAAATGGAATTATGGTACAAGAACGTGAGATTTATTCCGAAATCTATTTGATAATATGTAATATGCTTACTTAACCCTGTTAACACTCATGGAGGAACATAGACCACTCACCAGCATTCTCCATCCAAATCTGTCCTGGACAATCCTTTCAAGTGATTTCCAGTTGCTCTTCATTCTTTTCATATCTGCTTCTGATTTTCGATTTAATGTGTTATTTGGTCTTCCTCTTTTCTGTTCCCCTTCAGGATTCCATATTAGGGCATACGTCATGATGTAGTCTGATGGTTTCCCCAATGTATGTCCTATCCACCTCCGTCGTCTTTTCCTTACTTCATCCTCATTTGGAAACTGTCTTGTTCCCTCCCACAGCAGGTTGATGTTGATGGTATCTGGCCTACGGACATTTAGTTTCGTACGTAGACAATTGTTTATAAGTACTTTTACCTTTTTGATGTTTGTTGTAGTAGTTCTCCACGTTTCACTTCCGTACAATAGAACTCACTGTCTTGACGTTCGTATTGATGATTCTGACTACGATGTTGACTTACAGATAGCTGTTTTGAGTTGCACGAGAGCTCTTAGCCTCTAGACCAATAAGCTGGCTTTCAGTGGTATACGTGTATAACTCTAATCCATTCGTGATATTGCAAAATCCTCATAGGTTGCCTGAGGTGAATAGCTATCTCATGTTGGACATAGTTAAACTCCACTGGTCATGGGTTGTCACTAGAACATCAAGAGTCGCATCTCGAAGTGAGCACATTATATCATGTACAAAATCTGACCAATTTTTTTAATCGTTTCTCTAGGTCGTTATTTACAATATTTGTAATTACTCATATCACTGGTAAGAGAAACTGTTATTATCTAGTCTAGAAGTAAACTATCTTAAACGTTATATTCATATAGGTAATCATAATGAAGAGAAAAAAAGTTTACTTTCTATTTTCGTAACCTAGTGAGACTAAACGTGGATATTTTCTTAAGAATAAAAAAATCGACGTCGTTGAACTGCCAGTGATTTTTCTGAACAGTCGGATTCGCGAGCCGATATAAGCTAGGCCATCATCAAGAGACTGTAGGTAGTGCGTGACCGTTTCGTCCTAGTATGGTGCTCTTCAGCTGGGTGCACCCATGACCCCACATGGGACTCGAACCCAGGACTATCGGCATCATGCGAGGACACCTAATCTCTAGTCCACTGAGCTGGCATCTAATAGTGTCGATGTTTAACTTCAATCGATCCATGATCTTGCACAATCTTTCATCAATTGTCTGAAGTGGATAACTGTCTTACACCCAACACGGATTGCACTCCACTGGTCACGGCTTTTCATTAGAACTCCATGAAATCCATCTTAAAGTTAGTCACTAGTGAGTATATGATTATTATCAGTAAGGGGATTTGTTGAGATTATAGTATTTTTTAACAGTTGATTTAATAATTGTATAATTAGATTCTTTGGAATTTGATTGATTTTTATTGACCCATAGATATTACATGCACTTGTTATTTGACTTATGTACTTGATGATGTCAATAATTACTATCAGTTTAACGAAATACTATTAGCACTCAGACTGAGTTTAATTATTATTCATTAATATTAAGTATAACTTGATGGAATAAAAACTAAAAATTATCATAAATTAACATCAAATAAAATGTAATATTCAACTTTGGGAAAGTTTGTATTTAACTAGTCTATGAATCTTAATTGTTATAGACGTAGGTAAAAGAGTATACATATGAAAATCTATTTTAAAAAAAGGAGAACAACAGAACATATGAACCATCTACTCAATAAACCTAAATTGTACTTATATTCTAAACAGTCTAGTGACTGGAATTTGAAATAGATAGAAAGAAAGAGAGTGTGTGTGTATAACTTTTTTTTATCAAGTAACAACAATACTATTTTAAATGACCTAATAATGTTGGGTTAGGAAATTCCTTCAAAACCGAATAATATATGGCTATGTAGGATTTTCATTGTAGAATCACGACTGTCACGTTGAGTGATGAAATTAGATTACTACTACAACATTCAGGATAATACAATCATTACTACTCCGTAAAGTGCTTGAACTAACAGAAAATGGTTTCTTTTTAATGAAGTTCAGTTAAATTACTAATAATTACCTGATGTGATATGAAGATAACTGTTTATCATAAAGATCTATTTGAAACTAATACTGAATGCAATTCAACAATCAACAATGAAGGAAATAATGTAGGTTGAAGAAAGACTGCTAATTTGTCTTTTCTGTAAATCCTAATGGGTTTTATTTCAAAAACTTATATTTACCATTATATCTTTGGTAAAACTATATGGACACAATGTTGGGGACGATAGATCCCCAAAACTCATATTTGTAATTTTATCATATCGATTAACTTATCGATGAAATGTCTAAATATTTCAATGGCAGTCAATTGATGAACTTATCGATTAAATGATTAAATAGAAGTCAATTGACGAACTTATTGATTAAATATTTGAATGGCTGTCGATTAATGAACTTACTGAATAATGTTTAAAAACATTTTACTATGACAATATCGATTGTAAATATTTGTATAAATACGCTTGACTTGTGTGCCTGATTGACCTGACCTGACCTAGTATCTGCTGGTTGCCTGTAGAATACACTTTCTACGCCTTACCAAGAATTCTTGATCGCGTTAGCTGAGTCGGGGACAACGGACCAGAATGGTCTATTAAGACTCTGAATCCCTTGATCCGATCGATAAATCACTACCCTCTAATCGGCGGCCCTTTGAGATATAATACACAATCAGTAGAAATTTATTCGTCTTCGTTATACACTTGTTGATATCGATTAATGGTAAAGTTGTTGCGCTGTTATTAACTATGCAAGCTACAGATTTACTACAATTCGTTCGTTCAAATTTACTCATCGTTGTCCCTTGTTGGTAAAATACTTAAAAATATTTCTTCTAATTTTATCCTTTTTATGTAGTTTTAAGTGAAGGAAGTTAATAGCATCAGGAAACTAATTATTCAATTTTCTCTCTACCCAGCAGCGAATTTTTGTATAACTGAATAACAAGTGATAAATTAATCGTCAAGGAAAAGTTATCATTTGCTTTATGACCTTCGATTTTATCTTTTTTTAATTCACTTGTTATTACATAAATAACTCAGTTATCTGAATTATTTGTAATAAGAATGACAGTTTGTTGACTAATATGTTCTTAGTTCATTGTCCTTTGATTATTTTCTTTTTCTAAAATCTGTTTGGCTGAAATTTCAGAATCAGCTTTGTGAATTTTGACATCTTAACATACATTTCTTTGATTTCTTTCCGTTTTTAATGTCAATGAATTTGATAGCCGATAGCTAATAATAACTTCTCATCAATGTATTATTGACTTTATTTTAAAAATAGAATATTAAGTTTTTTAAGGGAATAAGTTGGTTTAAAATATAAGCGTTTCCCCATCATTTATATTAAGGACTGTAATTGATGATCGGTCTCTACTAGCATATATGTATTTTGAACAGATTTTCTCAATGCTCCTTCATGTTATTGGTTTTTAATATATTCAGTTTATGGCTAACAGTGAAATTGAGGATGCGTTAAAATCTAAATACAATGTCCAACAATCTTCTAAATTTTATTTATACAAGTCACCTCACTGATAAATGCCACAGTGTCATGTAGAAGAAATTTTGAAAATTGTGATTCCATGCCCATCATTGCCAAGATTATGCAAAGTTTTGGGCATGGAAATTGTTTTAGTATACTGAACACAGCTAGAATAAATTTAGATCAGCTAATTAATTCAAATAAAAAAAGTGAGGAAATAGTCCGAAGATAATAGGGAAGAAAAACATTCTTATTGGCCGTTTATTGACCTTTATTTAGACACTGAAATAATCAATTGTTATTTAATAAATAATTCATAGTTCTGCCCTACTTGTTGTATGTTTTAGTACATAAATGACAGGTTGATTTCTGTAAGTTATATATAAATAATCAGGTAAACAGTTCAATTGTTTATTATTAAATGTTAGTAAAAAGAATACTTTTCTATTACTTATTGAAATATGAAAATTTCTAATAATAATAAAGTTTAATCCTTTGATAATTTATTTATTCCCTGTTTCTACTGTCAGGTCTTTGCTTAATTATTTGCTTATGTCAACCTATCAACTGATGATTAGTTATCGATTCAGTAATCAATAATCCCATAATAACAGCCTTTTTGTACTTTCAAGTTATAGGAATGAACTGAGAGTTTTCCCTTGTTGTGTAGGAAAAAAATAATTGAAGTGATAGGTAAAATAGTGTTTTAGATTTGTTATTGGTTAATTTAGAAGTTAAGATTAGGTAATATACTTTTCAGTATTCTGAAAATTTGTCAAGTAGTATTTTGATTAGGCTGATAGAGATTTATTTATCTTTGAAGCTAGAAAAATATATATTCCATTGGATGATTGGTAAAAATGTCCTACAGTTTGATAATAGATAAGATGACATGTTTGTTCTTTATAGTCACTGACTGATAGGATTAAAGCTAGTTAGAAACAATGCAACAAAATGAGACTGTATATTTCGTGATTCAATGTAAAAATGGGAGAAAATATCTGGTAAAAAATAAAATGTTGAAGAATGATATCATGACCTACTGAACAATATTTACACAATCAAGATGAACTAGTTGTAAATAATCTTGACTTGTTTGTAGCTGAAGATCAGCTATTACTACGGCTGAGATTTTTAATTTTTAGTTGTGATAATTAATTATGATTACAGATACCTTCGAATGATTGGTTGCAAACTTCTGGACCAGCAAGTGAACAATGTTAAGATTAGGCGCATGCTACTAGTTAAGGATGACAAACTGACTGATAAGGTAGTAAAGCCTTGTCAACTAATGTGGTCGGAACTTGTGGTATGCATTCTCAATAACTCTCTGCCTCGATGGCTGATATTGGCTAGTATAGGAGTAGGTTGAAAGAAAGCTAAGAGCCGTCAAACAAAAACACGCGGTCGGTCCATGAAGACAGTGGCTGGTAGAATGAATTATGTAGGTAGGTGCAAACTACCTGATTGGGATCTGCATGAGTTTCATAGCCAATAGTTGGAGACTTTGGGTAATACGGCACAGAAGCAGTAGTAATGGCGCATACATATCCACTATTTGTCCTTCCACAGAGCCCGAGTATCAAAAATGATTCATAATGTCTTTATACAGACAACTTATCCTTTTCGGATAATGATTACAAATTATACTGTTACTACTTCTAATACTCTGGGATTTGTCCTAATTATTTTCCCTTATAACATTGATGTGATATCGCAACTTGAACCTAGGGACATATGATTTTAGTGTTTCATTCCTAATTTCATAAGAATGTAATGAAAATTTACAGGTTTTTATAAATTAAACGAAACATTTCTTTAAGAAATTCGGAACACATATGCAGCATTTAGTTTGAAACATACATAGTTATCATTTTTGTAACTAAATTTTCATGTTACTAATCAGTAGTCTAAAACCTATATGAAAATTAAAAATTCTCATTTAGTCCCTTTGATAAATTTCGATAGTGTAGTGAGAAGACGAAGATGATCAGAACGATGTGATATACACTTCGAACAATAAAAGGTCATCTAGACTAGAAATGGAGGGTAAGAGAAGACAAGGATAATAAAGAAATAATGTGGAAACAATTTAAAACCTCATCACTCTGGATAATAAGTTAACATTACTAGGGTAGGTTTAAGGTGAGAACAAACTGTTTTTTAATATACAAAGAAGGTTCGAATTTTCGTATGGCTAAGGCTTCAATAAACCTTAGTATAGGTCCTTTTACACCTTTATACAACACGATAAAAGCCGAATTAAGATCCATCTTATGGCCTGTTTCGATTATGTGTTTGGCAATAGAGGATGATAGATGTTTATCCTCTGCTCTTATTGGGTCATTTGGTTCTATTTGTTTCTGCAACCATTAAATGATGCATCAATATTAATCATGTTAATCTATTCCTAATTAGTATTGATAAGTACGTCACTGATTTATCTTCCACTGTATTATCTGCTAACGAAAAGGAAGCACTTTCTCTTGGTTTAAATTTCTCGATCCCTATAACCCAAATGTCTGAATTGGAAATAAATGCCCAGTTTGAAAATCTATATGATCAACTAAGTACTCTAACCCCTATGTCTTTAACTAATTAAAGCTGGTGAAAAGCTAAACTGGCGGATATAGCATACCAACTTCATAATACTGGACCAAATAAGAGAAGCATACTAACTTCTCAGCATTTTAAATCACTAAAAGAACTATGAACAAACTGCGATATTGTCTATTTGGCTATTTGAATCACCTCTAAATGGTAAGGTGATGTAGACAGGCTTTTTTTCCTCCAAAGCTACAGTAGATCTTACTGTCCCATGAACTTCCCATTTATTTATGAGTTTAAGGGGATAGCCATTTCCTATTAATGTTTTATTTAGCAACCTAAATCATCAATGGCGTCATTTGTACAAATACGATCAATCCTATTAATTAGGCACCTTATCAAACCCCGTTTGTATTGCACAGGGCAATAACTATGATAACTAAGGTATTGGCCTGTCCACGCTGGTTTTTTAAAAATGGATCGTTTGATTGAGGCATCTTCTCGTCTACTCAGAAGTATATCTAGGAAGGGAACCTGATCCTTCTCTTCTCATGAGAGACTGATGCGGTTTTGGAAAGTGTTAAGTTTATTCAATAGATAGTTCATATTCTCCTTTCTTTCACAGACAACTAAGATATCATCCACATATCCTTGTCTCCTCTTACTCTCCATTTCTAGTCTAGTTGACCTTTTATTTTTTATATATAAATGTTCTTAACAAGTGTATGTATGATCAGATTGTTCGAAGTGTATTGCGCTGATATATCGCATAGCTCTGATGATCTTCGTCTTCTTATTACAATATCGAAATTCTCATTTTGTTAATCAGATGACATAAATGAACCAAATTGTTTTCAATTAGATCTTTATCAGGTTTTACTCAAATATACTGTGATATCTATATTCATATGAGAAAATATTAAGCCAATCAAGTCAGCTTATCAGTCAGCGATAACAGTGGGACAGATTACTGTTATATTTAGAGCTTAGATTCTTAATATACTGCGTATAACTTCAGCACTCGAATGCCAGAACCCTCCAAGTTGCAAATGAGAAGACAGATGACAAGTGAAAGAAATTTTATTCCAAACAGTGTCAAATATGAAACAAAACTCTCAAATATTTATAGATTTTTCTAGTAAAAACTAAATCATCATTATAGTCATCCAGTTCGAATACAACGTTTTTTAGTATTTTTCCAATAGGGAAGGTACACGTATAGATTCTAGAATATTATTCCCGAAGACAATTGGATGGAATATCTTCAGTTCTTTGTGAGCTTCTTAGAGCTTTCTCGAGTTCACCCATGAGCCGTCCTCACAATTACATAACTAAAAATAATAAATGAGAAGTACAGACTAATGGTGCGATTACAGCTGTACTAGTTATGATACAAATAATTAAGTCGACGAGACTATAATTCATGGACGAATCAGTCAGATTTAAGAGAGCAGGTCTTAAATCTTGGCACGAGATTCATCCACTCATTTGGTTAAGTACCATTTCGGCATTAAAGCTGATGTCAGTTCGTGATGAAAATATTAAATATAATTTCTAACCCTAACGTTCAAATGTAAATCCTAATTCCTCGCACTAATTTGTAACCCTCATTTAACCCCTAGTAAGTAGGTGGACATTTTTGGAGTCATTTTAACGTTGCTCAAAGGTCGTCCATAAATTATAGTCTCACTATTAAGTCTACTACTTCCTATCATGAAAAAATTGACTCAAGCCTTCATTATAATTAGTATACTTGTCGCTGCACTACAAATTCGTAATTCATGTTAAGTATGCTTATTTATGTAATGTATTTTGTTGTTATTATTAACTTATAAACTGCCTTGATTGGTTTGATATTTTTATATGTGCATATATATAATATTGTGTATTAGAGTAAAATCTGACAAAGATCTAATTGACAATGACATTGTTCATTTATATGAGTGGTTCTAATTGCGAATACTGTTTGGTCCATACATAAAATAATAGATTAATTTCAAAAACATAAATCTGTTAGAATTGTATCGAATTTTCCTTGTCCAGATAAAGGTTATAAAACTCATATGAGTCTACATACTTCAAGGATCACTTCTAAAATGTTTATTCTAGAAAGTTAACAATCATCTACTATTTCGATGTTAGAAAGTAGTTTAGATTCAAGCGTTCTTTAAGAGCAGATCATATGTTTCGAATAACTACTTAATCCCGTAAAATTTCAGAGAAT